CGTGAGTTCGGTTCCCGGTACCGGAGAAAAACCAAAAATAAAAAAATAAAAAAAATAAAATAAAATAAAATGCAGGACAAGGGCCGAGAATATAGCTCAGTGGCACAGCGCCTGTCTGGCAAGCATGAGGTCCTGAGTTCGATTCCTGGTACCAATAAAATAAAATAAAATCCAAGACAAGACTTCCCAGGAGGAATGGATAGGCAGATACAGACATGGGACTGCAGACACAGACTGGGCGGTGATCCATTTCAATTCCGCCCAAATAGAGTGCCCCAAGAACGAAATCTAAGAACCAACGAGAACAGGAAAAATGAAGGGAGCAAGACAAAAACTACAGCTGAGCAACAAGTAAAGATAAGAAGAACAGCTGAGAGAAAGAACAGCCCACATAACAGTGTCAGGGACATCAAAGTGGGAGTGCTTTCCCTAAAGTAACAAAGGAGATACACAAATAAAGAGACAACAAAACCGAGAATGGCAAAAGAAATACTTTAACGCCTGTGCAAGCACTGAGGGCAGAAATGGAAAACACACACTCCCCGACCCACAGCAAAGACTCCGCTTGCTGATGATGCTCAGGTTACCTTAAAGACTAAATCAGGGATAACTACTTCTTGTTCACCATTCCTCACGTGGAGCATTTATTTATGCTAACTCACAGCAATTTCTAAAGTTAACCCACAGTCAAGTCAGGCAGACACAAAGCATGCCTGACAGTGTCTGTACCCTAGGAAGCTCAGGCTCAACCTACCATACTCTATCTGAAAGAAAGACTACTCTCAGTCACCGAACAGTCCTGAGTGACGGAGAAAATGACCCACAGGCTGAGGGGAAAGTGTAGCATTCTCCAGTACTGTCTAGTCTAAGAGATAAGTAAGGCAAGGCCAAGAATTTGAGAGAAACCTCGACAGGGGAAAGGGACGCATCACTCTAAGATATTTAAAGGCACTGTTCATTAATACAATCCAACGGTCCTTGCACAATTCCATGCCCAAATAAGTTTTTGTTTTTTTTGTTTTTTTTTTTTCTTTTTTGGAGGCAGGGTCTCATTATATAGTGCAGGCTGGTGTTGAACTTGTTTACGTAGCCCAGACTGGCCTTGAACTCATGCAGATCCCCATCTCAGCCTCCCGAGTGCTGGGATTACAGGTGTGCACCACCACACCCAGCCCAAATAAGTTTCTGATTGTGCTTTGCTTCTGGTGGCATTTCAGTTTATAGGCTAGCCTCTCATGAATCACTTTTCTAAGCCTAATCATTTCTAGGTGTACTAACAAAACATACTTTTAATCATGTAAATTCAGTCACCATAATCTAAATTGTACATCCATACAATGATGCTAGGAACTTCTAGGATTCAGTCTGGAGCAGAAAGCTGGTCTCCTCGGTCTACTCAAACGTCAACAGTGTTAATAAATAATGAGCTGAGGCTGAGTCCCCTTCTGGCCCCACAGACAAGTTTCTCCTGGCACCCTCACGCTGCATCTGCCCACGTTGCTAACGCAGCCCCCTGAAGAAAATCAGTAGTCTTCCTATTACTGAAGAGGATGTGCAGTAATCTCTATGGACCTGAAGCAAACACTTTCCTCCTAAGGTCTGTTTGGAAAAAGACTGAAAAGGGCTCTGTGTATACTGAAACATCCTGCTTAAGGTAAGTACTAAGAACTCCTAGGAATAATCACCTTAGAAAATGTTTTAGCACAGTAGAAAAAGTACAGAATGGATGCATCTTGCACAAGACATAGGTGAGGTGAAAAGTGCCGGTATTCCCAGCTCCCGAGGGTGCAGTGCCAGAGGACACTGCAAAAAGCCTGGGATGCCAAGTGGCCCTCTGTGACAGCTGGCAAGGCTCACTTTCCTCTTTGGTACCACGAGGAAACACCATCAGATAAGCTCTATGGTCCCTTTCAACTGTGATCAGTGGGAAAGTTACAGAAGCAAATTTACCAAGAAAACTTAAGCGTAGCTTTGTTCAAACAATATGGTACACTTCTTTGCAAACAGAATCCATTTTATCTCACTACATTAAAACTATATCCAGCCAAAAACATTAGAACGGACAAGGGAAAGAAATCCACCTGCTACTGCAGTACTTTGAGAATAAAAACCAACGGGAAGGCTTACGTGTGCCTTGCGTATCTGAGCGTCTCTCGGAGGGACCATGCAGCCTGGTATGGGGAGGCCTGCTCGGTGTCTTCCAGCTCCTCTCCGCTCTCTTCAGACCAGTCCAACCCTGGACAGACAGGGAACGTGCCACGTTAGGAAAATCCACTTTTCCTTACAATTGAGCTAAAAAGCTATCTGAAATACGTAAGTCAACACCTACAAAAATTACCAGCACAGTATGAATAAACGCCTGCTGACCAGTCTAATTTCTGCTCTTAGAAAGGTATTTCAAACTCAGGTTTAAAAGTATGTGCTGGGTGTGATGGCACTCGCCTGTAATCCCAGCACTCGGGAGGCTGAGGCAAAAGGATCGCCAAGAGTTTAAGGCCAGCTTGGGCTACAAAGTGAGTTCAACACCAGCCTGAACTGCAAAATGAAACCTTGCCTCAAAAAGACAGACCAAAAAAAAGAAAGAAAATATGGTGTTATATCAAAAAGACTCTACTATAATTCTAAGGAAAATACTTGTCAGATACTTCACTAAAGGAGTAAAACACCACACAAGCAAAAAAGAGAGCTCAGGACAATAAAAGGTAAAAATTTTTCCAAGTATCAAAATATCATATAATAAAATGATGTCAAAAAAACACACTAAGGAAAGTAAAAAGGCAGGTGTGGTGGCATACTCCTGTAGTCCCAACACTCTGGGAGGTTGAGGCAGGGGAATGGCAGGTTCTGCAGCAACTTAGTGAGATCCTGTCTCAAAATTAAAAGAGGGGAGAGGGTAGCTCTGTTTGAAGGCCCTGGGTTTAATCTCCATACCTGAAGAAATTGAAAAAGAGAAAAAACTTAGCGAGCTTAGTCTAATACAGGTTCAGGCGAGAAAAAGACCAAAAGGTATGAAGGGCATCCATCCACACTGTGAAGAGAGGCCCTAGGGTAGCTTTGCAATGGCTGAGCCCTGCCGCATCCCTCCCCCAGGAAGAAGGGCTCCATGGCGGAGGGAGGGCCATTCCCCAGTGAAAAAGGCAGGGTGGTATGGATAGCAATGAAACAGTACTGTAAGGTTCAGGATTCTCCTCCGTTCCTCCCTCCTTCCCCCTTTCTTCCACTGTACAGTATCGGGGTTGAACCCAGGATCTCATGCATGCTAAGCAAGAGCTCTACCACTGAGCTACATCCTCAACACCCCCTCACACACCACTTATACTGTACTGGGGATGGACTCCAGGGTCTTTGCATTTGACCTACAACTCCAGTCCTTCTTGTATTTTGAGATGGAATCTTGTTAAATCACTAAATTGGGCTCAAACTTAGTTTTTCCCCCTTTTTTTGTTTCGAGTTTTGGGCTCAAACTTCTGATCCTCCTACTTCACTCTCCCAGAGTGCTGGGATGATAAGAATGTATTACCATACCCAGCTTTCCCAGCCTTTTTTTTTTTTTGTAGAGACAGGGTCTTATTCTGTAGTTCAGGTTGGCCTTGAACTACGAAGTCTCAGCTGGCCTTGAACTCACAGCAATCCTCTTGCCTCAGCCTCTCAAGTGCTACGATACGATTACAGGTGTGCACCACGTGGACCTCCTCAGTCCTCTTTTAAAAAAAATTTTTATGAGATAGGCTGGCCTCAAACTTGTTACCCTCCTGCCTCAGCCTTCAGAGTATCTTGGATTACAGAGCACAGGAATGTGCTACCATGCCTACCTCTGGAATTTCTTTCAATTCTCTTAAACAAAAGCTACCACGTTTTGTGCTCTACTTTTAAAATAAGTTTAGAGGGAAAAGTGTAAAACTACGGTATTAACAATGCTTATTTTGTTAGATGCTATGACTTTTAATGCTAGGATAATTATTAGCTACTGAGGTAAAGGTTTTCTCCTTTTAAAATTTATATCCTAAAAATAAATTAATAAAATGTAGATCCTGAAGAAGTGTTGATACACAGAGATTGCATAGCCTAACGTATCGCACTATGTAGGGTCACATAGCTTTAATATACTCAAACCACTTATGAGATATCTTAATAACTGGTATTTTATATCTTTCTTCTGTGAACCTCACAAGTCAAAAACCCATACGGATTATTATGGCTTGTATCTAGGTGTCCTCCAAACCCTCATGTGGTCATAGTTGGGGCTTTTCAGCAGTAGTTGGATCTAGGGTTTATGATTCTGAGATTAAAACTGCATGATTACTAAATTAGTCTGATTAGCTTAGCATAGTTCTGGGTGTGGATAATGAGAAGGCCCTCCCAGGTGTGGGTGGCACCACCTAAAAGGCAGGCAGCCTGGAAGGGGTCAAAGGGAGAAGGCAGGCTGGTGATTGCCGCCTGCCCTGCCCTGCCATGGACTGTTTCTCCTCTGCAATGCCCCTCTGCCATGGAGCCCTGCCTCGGACCCTACAGATTATGGGTTGAAACCTATACAAACTGTAACCTTTCCTCTTTTAACTTTGGGTATTGGGTATTTTCTCTCAACGATGAGAAAAGTAACTAAGACACATACTGAATATGTATTTTAAAATGGACCTCACAAACTTCTTCCGTATTTTAAATGAGTTTACATATGCCAACAGGGAAATTAAGAAAAGGTTAATTGAAATGCAAGTTATAAATGCTTAAGGTTAAATTACACATGGCCACTGGCATTATGAAACTTCAAACCTAGTTCGAGATGATCTTTTAGGGTGTCACTTCGTCTTAAAAGGCATGGACTTCCTTTCAACTACAGTAATTAATAATCTGTAGGGGGATCAAGAAACAGTGTGCAGGGCTGGGGATTTAGCTCAGCGGCAAAGCGCCTGTCTGGCAAGCGCAAGGTCGTGAGTTCGGTTCCTGGTACCGGAGAAAAACAAACAAACAAAAAAAAAAAAAAGAAACAGTGTGCACACAGCAGCACCAACTTCGGGGTATCAGAAGGGCAGGTGCAGGTGCTCCTGAGGCGACCAGTTAGTGTGTAGTGTGTAGCACTCAGGGAACTTCCTTCACACTGCCACTTAAGGCATCCTTACAAACAGAACATGAATTGTCTTTCCTTGCTGTAGAAGTAAGGATAATCTCTCTCATCACACCAACACTTTCTCTGGGTCAGAAGTGTGCGCCCCCGTGAAACAACCCAATAAAGCGAACCTTTGACCCTGGCTTCCTTATCAGCAGTTCTAACGTAGTAACTGATGCAACTGGCCCAGACAGGACTGTGAAAGCTAATCAGGGGCCGAATCTTTCTAAGCACTTTTCGCTGGCATGAATACAGACTACGCTTGGTCTGAAGAGTGTGTGACAATTTCTTTTTTGGGTTTTTTTTTTTTTTTTTTTCCTGTTCTTTTGTTTTGTTTTTCTTCTGTTACCAGGAATCGAACTCATACCCTTGCGCTTGCCAGGCAGGTGCTGTGCCGCTGAGCTAAATCCCCAGCCTCCACAATTTCTGATTTTTCCATAATAATCCTTGTCTTGATATCTTAGGTCTCCAGTATGCTTAGATTTAAAAAATAAAATAAGACTGAGTGCTTTTTCTGTAAGTTTCTGAAAAGCAGCCCCCAATACAACAAAAATTTCACAATCCCAAAAGCTTAAAAATTATTATCATGTTTTACAGAGCCAGGCATGGTGGCACAAACCTGTAATCCCAGCATTTGGGAAGCTGTGGCAGGAGGATCTTTCTGAGTTCGAGACCAGCCTGAGCTACAAAGTGAGCTCAAGGCCAGCCTGAACTGCATAGCGAGACCTTGTCTCAAAAA